CCCTGTTCTGTTTTATTGTGTTTATTTTTAAAAAAATCTTATTTATTTATTTATTTATTGGTTCGATTTATATGCCGCCCTTCTCCGGAGACTCAGGGCGGCTTACAATGCGTTAAGCAATAGCTTTCATACTTTTGTATATACCTGCTTAGTAGGGCTTTCGGCCCCCCCTAAGCGGTGTTCTTTTTTATACAAAGTCAGCTTATTGTCCCCACAATCCGGGTCCTCATTTTACCTACCTCGGAAGGATAGAAGGCTGAGTCAACCTTAAGCCTGGTGAGATTTGAACTCGCAGTAATTGCAGGCAGCTGATGCTATTTAACAGCGCTTTAGTCCGCTGCTCCACCAAGGCTCCTCGTTTCTTGTTTCGTCTACCTTTTTAACTCTTCAGACCCGCGTACGAGGCGCGGCATCCCTCCCGGAGTTCGTGGGAGTGGGCGGCCACGCCACATTGGAATAAAAACAAAATATATTATTATTATTGGGGTTGCAAGGATGGCAATTAAGTTCGAGCAGCCCTGGGGCTCCTTCCGGCCTTCCCCTCCTTCCAATCTGACTTACTAGACAGGGTAGGTTAGCCCCGTTGAATGGCTGCCTGCTCGTCTCTGGCTCGCGGCGCGTGAGCTCGCTTGCCCTGATTAAAATGCAAAGTTTGGTTTTCGAAGGCTGTGCACCCAGGCTATTAAGACGACTTGGGTTTGAAAAAGATGTCTGAGCTGGGAACAGAAGCTGCCTCTCATTCTTTCTTTCTTTCTCTCTTTCCCTCAATCCCTCTCTCTCTGTCTCTCCCTCGGTTCTTGGTCATCCAGGTCATGGTTGTCCCAAAAGTGCTTTTTTCAAAAGGCAACTGGACGTTGTTGTGGTTTTTTTCCTGAAGAGGTTTCGCTTCTCACCCAAGAAGCTTCCTCAAGTTCTGGCTGAAGACTGAGTCAGAACGGAAGAAGCTTCTTGGATGAGAAGGGAAACCTCTTCAAGGAAAAACCAAGTCCAGCTGCTTTTTCAAAAAGCAACTTTGGGATAGTCTTAATGTGGAACGGGACAACTCACTGCAGGGCAATTCAACGAATCAATGTCATTATTTTAAAACCGTTTAAAAAATTAGTTTAATTGCTGTCATTCCCATTTCATTCTGCCCCTCCTTTTGTGTCCTTTCTTTAATGATTCTATTCCACGACGGCTTCCATATTAGTGGAACTCTGGTCCTGTGGCAAGTTGGTTGCCGTGAGTTTGACTGTGGCGAGTGGGCCGTAGCGAGTTGGTTGTGGCGAGTTGTGCTTGTGACTCGACGATTCCCTGTGCGGTGTTTTCTTCAACCCATTGTGTTACCTTCGGCTTTTATCCCCCCCCCTCTGTTGAAATGGTCACACTGCCCAACGCGGAGGGCATCCCCCACCTGTGGAGAATTTGATTGTCGCACTGTCAAAATGAGGTTTCGCTTTTGAGGTGCATCGTGAACCTCCATGATCGGGGCTTATTCAATAAACCGTGGTTAGTTCCAGCGGGCTGCAATGTGCAAACCACATTGTGTTGAATTCCCCAGAACTGGATTCTTTTTTTTTTTTGCTGACAGAACTTTCTGTGATTTGATGGCCGTGGGAGGGATTGAAATACAATTCCCCTCAGTTGCCGCCTTGACGGATCATAGAAGTATAAATCTCAGGTTCCGGCCTTCGCTGGGAGAAAAGGTTTAAAAATGAGGTTTCAGGATATAATTTACTCCCGTTTTTTGCTTAAAAAGCAGTTACCGGCGGTGCCATTCTCCTTCTGTCGACAGAGGTTGGGGTCATCGTTGTTAGATTTCAGTGGTAAGGCCACACCTGGAATATTGCATCCAGTTTTGGTCCCCACACTATAAAAAAGATGGCGAGACTCTAGAAAGAGTGCAGAGAAGAGCAACCAGGATGATTAGGGGACTGGGGGCTAAAACATACGAAAAACGGTCGCAAGAATTGGGTACGTCTAGTTTAGTGAAAAGAAGGACTAAGGAAAGACATGATAGCAATGTTCAATACTTGAGGAGCTGTCACAGAGAGGAGAGGGTCAAGCAGGGGTGAAATGCTACCGGTTTAAAAAAGCTACCGATTCCTCCGAACCGGTATTTCTGACGATCAGCTGTGCCGCGTGGTTTAGCTTTGCCAGAAAGCAGGAAACCCTGCTTTCTAGCTAAGCTAAATCGCGCCGCACAGCTGATCCTCCCCCCCTCGCTTCTACTTACCTTCCCAAGCCTTCTTTTGGCGTGTACTGCACAATCGACCCACGGAACAGAAGTTGCCTTCGGAAGTTGTGGGAGCTTCATCCCTGGAAGCTTTCAAGAAGAGATTGGATTGCCCTCTGTCAGAAATGGTGTAGGGTCTCCTGCTTGGGTGGGGGGTTGGACTAGATGACCTACGAGGTCCCTTCCAATGCTGTTATTCTGTTCTGTTCTGGTATGGACAGCTCGTTGTTGGAAATATAAGAAAATGGCTGGTGCTTTCGTTTAAATTGGGTGATTTTAAAAAAAAAGCCAGAGAGAAATGTCTAGGTGAATACAGGTAGCCCTCAAATTATGACCATAAACTGACCTCCCCAATTTCTGTTGCTAAGTGAGACATTGCGAGTTTTGCCCCGTTTTAACGCCTTTCTTGCCACCATTGTTAAGCGAACGACGGCAGTTGGTTTAGTTAGTAACCGGGCCGTTAACCAAATCTGGCTTCCCCATTGACTTGGCTTCTCAGAAGGTCACAAAAAGGGGGAAATCCCATGACTCCGGGATACGGCGACTGGTCATAAATGTGAGTCAGTTGTTGAGTGTCTGAATTTTGATCATGCTGCAGTGGGTGAAAGGCGTTCCTAAGTCCCCCTTTCCCCCCCCCCAGTGCTGTCATAACTCTGAATGGTCACTAAATGAACTGTTGTAAATTGAGAACGTCCTGTAGCTTGGAGCCAAAAATGAGGATGCGCGATGAGATGGAAACCGGAAGGAGGAAATAGAACGAAACTGGATTGCAACAGGAAGGCAGAGAAAGAGAAAGGCAGTTAGCCAAATCACAGTCAGCAAAACTTGGGATGAACCGAATCGAACCGAACTGAACCGAACAGAACAGAACAGGAGTTGGAAGGGACCTTGGAGGTCTTCTAGTCCAACCCCCTGCTTAGGCAGGAAACCCTACACCACTTCAGACAAATGGTTATCCAACCTCTTCTTAAAAGCTTCCAGTGTTGGAGCATTCACAACTTCTGGAGGCCAGTCGTTCCACTGGTTAATTGTTCTCACTGTCAGGAAATTTCTCCTTACTTCTAAGCTGCTTCTCACCTTGATTAGTTTCCACCCGTTGCTTCTTGGGAGATCCACAAAGAACATTAAATATATATATATTATATATATATAATGGCCGAGGAGCTTCCCGTAAGACGATGGGGGTTATAGCTCAGGTAACTCGCAGTCATCTTTTTCCTCCAAGGAGCAAACCCTAATTTAGCCCCTTGAATGATGTGCTAAGATAGATACTCTCGATAGAAGAGACTGGCTGGAGCCGGGATGAAGTCTTAAATCCGATTTTAATTTCCTTCGTATTGCAAGGCCATTAAAAACTAAGTAGAAAGAACCACGATTCCGCTCGTGCATTATATTGTGGCTGCTCCCCCTTCGATCAGAGGGAAGGTGGACCATTTGAAGATCTCCCATTTGAAGGTGGACCATTTGAAGATTCTTTGGTCCGGTGGTGGACTCCGTACGTGGCTTGATTTTGGTTTAGCACAGAGAAGAGGGTTCACTCCCCCCCACCTTAATGATTAAAAACAAAACAGAACATTTGAAGATGGAGAAGCAGTCTGTTAAAGGAAGTGTTAACAGTTTCTTAATTTCCTTTCCAGTCAAAAGGACAGGAAATGAAGAGAGTTTGGCCTAATGATTAAGGCACCAGGGCTAGAAACAAGACTTTGTGAATTCTAGTCCTGCCTTAGGTATAAAAACCGACTGGGTGATTTTGGGCCTGATCACTATGAGATGAGAGTTCTAGTCCTACCTTAGTGATAAAAACCGACTGGGTGATTTTGGGCCGATGACTAGAGATGGAGAGTTCTAGTCCTATCTTAGTGATAAAAACCGACTGGGTGATTTTTGGGCCGATCACTAGGAGAGGAGAGTTCTAGTCCTATCTTAGTCATAAAAACTGACTGGGTGATTTTGGGCCGATCACTAGGAGATGGGGAGTTCTAGTCCTACCTTAGTGATAAAAACCGACTGGGTGATTTTGGGCTGATCACTATGAGATGGAGAGTTCTAGTCCTACCTTAGTGATAAAAACCGACTGGGTGATTTTGGGCCGATGACTAGGAGATGGAGAGTTCTAGTCCTATCTTAGTGATAAAAACCGACTGGGTGATTTTGGGCCGATCACTAGGAGATGGGGAGTTCTAGTCCTACCTTAGTGATAAAAACCGACTGGGTGATTTTGGGCCGATGACTAGGAGATGGAGAGTTCTAGTCCTATCTTAGTGATAAAAACCGACTGGGTGGATTTTTTGGGCCGATCACTAGGAGATGGGAGTTCTAGTCCTACCTTAGTGATAAAAACCGACTGGGTGATTTTGGGCCAATCACTAGGAGATGGAGAGTTCTAGTCCTACCTTAGTGATAAAAACCGACTGGGTGATTTTGGGTCGATCACTAGGAGATGGGGAGTTCTAGTCCTACCTTAGTGATAAAAACTGACTGGGTGATTTTGGGCTGATGACTAGGAGATGGAGAGTTCTAATCCTACCTTAGTGATAAAAACCGACTGGGTGATTTTGGGCCGATTACTACTAAAGATGGTGAGTTCTAGTCCTACCTTAGTATAAAAACCGACCGGGTGATTTTGGGCCGATCACTAGGAGATGGGGAGTTCTAGTCCTACTTTAGTCATAAAAACCGACCGGGTGATTTTGAGCCAATCCCTCCCTCTCTCAGCTCAACCCACCTCACAAGGTTGTTGTTGTGGGGAAAATTGGATTCATCCTTCTTCTTTCTCATCTTCTAGCCATCAAAGTGAGCTGCGTGGGCTCCTGTGGAGTGTCCAGCAAGATAAACGACACGGCGTGGACTGTGGAAGAGCAGTATTTCAATACCACGCTGTCCCTGGCAGATAAAGGTAAGAAGGAAGCAGATTTTTTGGGAGGTGAAGCCGGAGAAGAAAGACCTGTTAGATGGCTTGCTTGTTCTTCAGGCTCTGTTTGAACCAGAAGTTGCTTAACTTCTTAATTTTCTTTCTTGTGTTGGCCTGGCTGGCCGAAAGAGAATTATTTGGTGGAGAGCTGGGAGTTTTGAGGTGATGGGGCCAATCGCCAGGAGATGGTGAATTCTAGTCCTGGTTTAGGCATGAAAGTTGGCTGTGAGTTCTAGTCCCAACTTAGGTATGAAAGTCAGTTGGGTGACTTTGAGCCAATCACTAGGAGATGGTGAGTTCTAGTTCCGGTTTAGGAATAAATGCCAGCTGGGTAACCTCGGGCTAATCACTAGCAGACGGCGAGTTCTAGTCCTGCCTTAGACATGAAAGCCAGCTAAGTGACATTGGACCAATCACCAGGAGACTGTGAGTTCTAGTCCCAATTTAGGCATGAATGCCATCTGGGTAACCTTGGGCCAAAGATGAAAACACCGTGAGTTCTAGTCCCAATTTAGGTATGAACGTCAGCTGGGTGACTTTGAGCCAATCACCAGGAGATGGTGAGTTCTAGATCCGTCTTAAATATAAATGCCATCTGGGTAATCTTGGGCCAATCATGAAAAACATTGTGAGTTCTAGTCCCACCTTAGGCATGAAAGCCAGCTGAGTGATTTTGAGCCAATCACTAGGCGGCAGTGAGTTCTAGTCCTGCCTTAGGCACGAAAGCCAGCTGGTGACTTTGAGCCAATCACTAGGAGACTGAGTTCTAGTCCCACCTTAGACATGAAAGCCAGCTAAATGACATTAGGCCAATCACCAAAAGACGATGAGTTCTAGTCCCACCTTAGGCACGAAAGCCAGCTGGGTGACTTTGAGCCAATCACTAGGAGACGGTGAGTTCTAGTCCCACCTTAGGCACGAAAGCCAGCTGGGTGACTTTGAGCCAATCACTAGGAGACGGTGAGTTCTAGTCCCACCTTAGACATGAAAGCCAGCTAAATGACATTAGGCCAATCACCAAAAGACGGTGAGTTCTAGTCCCACCTTAGGCACGAAAGCCAGCTGGTTGACTTTGAGCCAATCACTAGAGACGGTGAGTTCTAGTCCCACCTTAGCACGAAAGCCAGCTAAGTGACATTGGGCCAATCACCAAGAGATATGAGTTCTAGTCCCACCTTAGGCACGAAAGCCAGCTGGGTGACTTTGGATCGATCACCCAAAAAAGGTGATTTTTAATCGTGGCTTAGGCACGAAAGTCATCTGGAGGACTTTGGGCCAGTACCCCCTCTCTCAGGCCAACCCGCCTGACAGGGTTGTTGTTTTCTGGACAAGGGTTGCACAATTTGTCGACTCAGCCACACTGGGGCTCCCCCCCCCAAAAAAATCCTTGTAATCCATCGGCCATGTTTTACACGCTCTGCCATTAATCGAAGAAGGCAGGTTAAGATTTAGCAGGAGCCGTGGGAGAGAGAGAGAGAGAGAGAGAGAGAGAGAGAGAAGAGGAGGAGGAGGGAGAGAAAGTAGGCCGTCCTTCAGGAAGATTATCTGAAAGAACCAGCACAAAATAATGAGAGGAGGGAAACTTTCCAATCGGGGACCCAGCCAAGTCTCCAGCTGCAGTTTCCTCGCTTTGAAGAAAAGCAGCCAAATTTCTCTGCATAAAGTTCAAGGTGCCGGAGAAACAAACTGGCTATTGTGGAATTCTGAGTGGGAGGGTGGGGGGGGGTGGAGAGGGGTGGGAAATCACACCCTGGACACAGTGACCCTGGCTTCAGGATTTGCCACTCCTTCTGTCTCCTAATCGCCAAAGCCTCCCGTTTCGGCTTCCCTGCCCCAGCGCAGAACAAAGCAAGATGCATCAGAGTCTCGTTTTGCAAAATTTAGCTAACATAAAAGGGATTTTAAGATTGCTTGGGAGGAGGGGGAGGAGGAAAAAGAGGAAGGAGAAAAGAGAAGAGAAATAAGGAAGGGGAGGAAGAGGAGAAGGGAGAGAGAAGGGAAAGGAGAGGAGGGGGACGGGGGGGAAAAGAGGAAGGAGAGGAAGGAGAAGAGGAGAAAGGAGAAGGAAGAGACAGGAGAAAGGAGGAGAAAGGAGGAAAGGAGAAGAGAAAGGAGAAGGAAGAGAAAGGAGAAAGGAGAGGAGAAGAAAGGAGAAAGGAGGAGAAAGGAAGAAAGAAGAAGAGAAAAGAGTAGGAAGAGAAAGGAGGAAAGAGAGGAGGAGGCTGCACTGTTACATTTTGTAAGGGTAATAAATGAAGACTGTTTAGCCTTCCTACAATCCAAGGAATTTGTAACTGTCCTCATGAAGCACATGGCAGTAGGTGGTTCAACCAACCAACCAACCTACCTACCTACCAACCAACCAACCAACCAGAAGACTTCACTGGTTGAAGGAACTTTTCAGACTAAAAAGACCAACTCAATGAATTGAAGAAGAGCTGTCTCTAACATTACATCCTTCTCCTCCTCCTCTTCCTTTCCCCTTCTGGAACAGATGATGTTACCTAGTTGGGTCATGAAATGTCTGCAAGAAAACCGCCAAGCTCAGGGACACCAAGGATCTCACAGTCCTTTTCTTCCTCCTCCTCCTCCTCCTCCCTCCTCCTCCTCCTCTTCCTCCTCCCCCCTTCTGGCACTGATGATGTTACCTAGTTGGGTCACAAAATGTCTGCAAGAAAACCACCAAGCTCAGAGAGCACCAAGGAGCCCACATCCTTTTCTTCCTCCTCCTCCTCCTCTCCTCTTCCTCCTCTTCCTCCTCCCCCCGTCTGGCACTGATGATGTTACCTAGTTGGGTCATGAAATGTCTGCAAGAAAACCACCCAAGCTCAGAGAGCACCAAGGAGCCCACATCCTTTTCTTCTCCTCCTCCTCCTCCTCCTCTCCTCTCTCTCTCTTCCTCTTCTCCTCCCCCCCCGTCTGGCACTGATGATGTTACCTAGTTGGGTCACGAAATGTCTGCAAGAAAACCACCAAACTCAGGGACACCAAGGAGCCCACAGTCCTTTTCCTCCTCCTCCTCCTCCTCCTCCTCCTCCTCCTCCTCCTCCTCTCCTCCTCCTCCTCCTCCTCCTCCTCCTCCTCCTCCTCCTCCTCCCTTCCCTTCCCTAAACTACAAACATTCTCCTTTATTGAAAAGAACAGCCCAAAAGTCCGTGGATCCAAAAAAAAAAAAAAAAGAGGAAAGAATTCAGGGCCTTGACCCCGAGGTTAGGGGATCGACACAGGATTTCAATTCTGGCAGATCTTCTGCATACAGAGAGTCTCCCACCCAACTCAGGCATGCAACAGGCACTTTTGAGATTTTTGAAGTTCCTGATAGTGTCTTCTGCTGAACACCCAGGGACTAGCTAGCTACTAGTCCAATTTCCTCAATTTTGCAACCCGGACTGCAGAGAGCGAAGACGGTCACTCCCCATCCCCCCGCTCCACATCTAAGCAGGAAACATAAAGTCTGAGCGTGCTTTAGGACCATACCTGTCACCTCCTGGCTCCTGTTTTTCCATTTGACGTCACCTTCCTGGCCCGTTTACGGTAAAGGTGAAATGAATCATGCACCTAGCAACCAGGACGTCTTGGCCGTAACAGGAGAAGCACAGATTCGGGGCAGCAGTTCACCCAACCTCGGTTAGGTGACACACACAGCTTTAAAATTGCTCCGAATGTGAGGGGAGATTCAGAGAGGGGGTTCCAGTCCTTTTGGTGGCCACCTAGAATATACATTTTTTTAGATCTCAGAAGATGTGTCCGCAAGAGGCAACGTGTGGCTGACCTTGTCTTAGCTTCTAAGTTTGGCAGCTAAGCAGAGTTAGAGCTGGTTAATCTCTGGAGAGAAACAAGAAATTTCAGAGAGCAAAGCCCATTCGCTAGTAGCACTGATGAGGTTACCTAGTTTGGTAAGGAGATGTCTGCAAGAAAATAACCAAGTTCACAGAGGGCCAAGGACCCCCCCAATCATCTTCTCCTTCTTCTCCTTCTCCTCCTCCTCCTCCTCCTCCTCCTCCTCCCCCTCCCCCTCCCCTCCTCCTCCATGGAAACCCCACTCCCACTTCTTGTTGTTGTTGTTGTTGTTGTTGTTGTTGTTCTTCCTCTTCTTCTCCTTCTCCTTCTTCTCCTTCTCTCCTCCTCCTCCTCCTCCTTGGAAACCCCACTCCCACTTCTTGTTCTTCTTCTTCTTTTTGTTGTTCTTCTTCTTGTTGTTGTTGTTCTCCTTCTCCTTCTCCTCCTCCTCCTCCTCCTCCTCCTCCTCCTCCTCCTCCTCCTCCTCGGAAACCCCACTCCCACTTCTTCTTCTTCTTCTTCTTCTTCTTGTTGTTCTTCTTGTTGTTGTTCTTCCTCTTCTCCTTCTCCTTCTCCTTCTCTTCTCCTTCTCTTCTCCTTCTCCTCCTCCTCCTCCTCCTCCTCCTCCTCCTCGGAAACCCCACTCTCACTTCTTGTTCTTCTTCTTGTTGTTGTTGTTCTTGTTGTTGTTGTTGTTGTTGTTTTCTTCTTCTTCTTCTCCTTCTCCTTCTCCTTCTCCTTCTCCTTCTCCTTCTCCTTCTTCCTCCTCCTCCTCCTCTTCCTCTTCCCTCCTCCTCTTCTCTCCTCTCCTCTCCTTTCCTCTCCTCTCCTCCTCCTGCTGTTAGCTACTTTGGTAATGAAGTGTGTTTTCTTGGTTGCAAAAAAAACAATCAAGTTCACAGAGCACCAGGGGCCCCACAATCTTCCTTCTCCTCCTCCTCCTTCTACTGTTACCTAGTTTGGTCATGAAACGTCTGCAAGAAATAACATCAGAGAGTCCAAGGACCCCCTGAAGGTTTTATAACACCGATAGACAAACAGATTAATGCTATGTAAAAGATAACAGCCCGATAGCAAAAACAAAACAACACTGGTCCTTTGGACTTGATGGATGACTTCACCAGTCTCGGCTTATTTATTTAATTCATGTTATTCGGGGAAACGTTTTTCCCATCCCGGCTGTCATCCGAGGGATAAGTAGGACA